GTGCCATCCATTCATAGTAAACTCTAATTTTATTGAAAGGAAAGTTAGTGTGTAGTTTTATTGTGGTATCTGCATTAATGACAGAGGAGGTGACCTTTGAGTTGGAAAGGTGATTCCAAGTATTCCATGGTTGAACGATTATAAAACCACAACTGGACTCTGGAAATATGGTCCATGTTCATCATGAAATCAATTCCTTCATAGTTCCACTGCACAATAAAGCAATATCTAGCCAGTTGATTATTTGTTAAAACAAGCATAACTACAAAATATAGAATTTTTATATGACATAAGATTTTATTAATTTTCACCTTTTAGGTCAATCTTAGATTAATTGACATCAATTTATGAATCAGTTCAACAATTTCAATGAAAATAACTTATAATGATAAAAGTATCATTCACTCACTACCCAGACATTAAAATGGCAGACATAAAAACATCTGGCCGATTAAATGTATTTAATCTAAAAACTAGAAAACAATAGTATTTTCTTTAAATTGTATTACTTTCGAGGGTTTCATTTTTTTTTAATGTTTTTCTGGTATTCCATGACCGTGGGAACCACCTTTTAGGTCAAACTTAGATTAATTCACATCAATTTATGAATCAGTTCAACAATTTCAATGAAAATAACTTATAATGATAAAAGTATCATTCACTCACTACCCAGACATTAAAATGGCAGACATAAAAACATCTGGCCGATTAAATGTATTTAATCTAAAAACTAGAAAACAATAGTATTTTCTTTAAATAGTATTACTTTCGAGGGTTTCATTTTTTTTTAATGTTTTTATGGTATTCCATGACCGTGGGAACACTAAGATGTGCATTTTAGTCTAAAGCAAATACATATTAGCAGTCAGATTTGTGCCACCCTGCAGTTTACCATCTCATATTTGCAAGTCAGATACATCTATATTATCTGAGTCTGTGTTAAGTAGCCCTCTTGGCCAGTAAAAGCTGCCCCCCGACTGGACGGGCCCCGCACTGAAGGTCTAATGCATCTGTTAGGAAGTTTTTTACTGATCATATGAAACTCAGAGAAGCTGTAATGAGATACAGGAATATGAATGGCCATCTGCCTCCATCTGCCATGACATTCTACAACTCAGATACTCCTCTACACATCCGCCTATGCCAAGAAAACTACATGCAGCTCTCGCCATCGAAACGTGCCAAGAAGCTTCCCCAACGTCTCCAACTCACTTCACCAAACTTCTATTCTTCTGACAAATCCTCAGGGCTGTCAATGTTAAAACTACAGAGATGGCATTATGCTGAAATGAAATGCTTAATTAAAGTAGCGTATGTGCCAAATGATGTGTCAAAATTCTCACTAATGTAAAGTACGCACTAAGATGGCAACTCAGGGCGGTGCATGCTCCCTTGGCGGTGCCACGACAAGCTTGCAAACTTGTTTGCAAAGTAAGTTGTACACTTTAAGTGTCCTTGCTGGACCCCACACTGCGCTTTGCGTGTGGACCGCTTACACTATGCTAATTGAACACTTGGGTAGTGAGGTGTCCTTGTCTATACAGTCTTTTCTTCACTGCATTGCAGGGCTTTTTAAGACCCCTCCTGGCCCGGCTCATGCCCCAGTCCTGCTGGCCTCATTAAACGGAGTTTGACAGAGTTCAGGGTTAGACAACCATGTCATGCGGCTGAATCCCGCTGAGCTGGCGGTGTGATGTACCATTCGATGTTTCCCATATTTTGACTCTTGTGAAAAGTATTGCGGGTCTGTGAAAGTAAAACACAGTTGGTGGTAATGGGAGCATGAAACTGCAAATGCGCACACACATACATGGACTTACTGGAGAGAGAAATGGAGATGGAAAGTTTCGCCTGAAATCAGACGTGTGGGCATGAGTCATTGCTGTTTGTTGGGGTCTGCTGGCTGCTCATGTGTTCAGATGATTCAAGTTGCATTTATGTCAAAGTGTAGCTATGCGACTGGGTGCATCTCATGTGTGTTAGCTCTCTCTCTCTCTGCAAAACTTTTCTCTCTCTCTCTCGCATCACGGAAGTATTTGAGGGAAGCAGCATTAGCATCCCTTTTACTTCAGTTGTTCAAACTTTCATTCCTGTTTGTTGAACTGGGCCGCCATCCAGTCCCTGTTTACACACAGGTCATTTATCTGACAGTATGCACTCGGAACAAAACAAAACAAAAAAAGTATGAACAACATACAGCACAGCCCTTCACGGCTGTGTGCGCTGGTAAATCATATCTTGCTGAGAGCAAATAATATATTTTTTTATCTATTCCAATAAGTCTTATATGGCATATTTCTAATTTAATATTGGATTGAGGTTACTACTAGGTATTGTCATATATGCAAGCCTTATTAGCCCATGAATGTAATGTAAAAATGTACAGTCAGCAGGACAATGTTTAAGACCTCTCTACTTTGCATTGATCATTGTGTCAGGGTTTATCTAAAGGCCTCAATGTACTTAAACTGAAACCAAAGAAAGAATCGGTATGATGTAATTTCTAACAAAATCAGGCCAAAACGAAGTTTGTTTCAGGAGTTTGAAATACATATTCAAAAAATGATGTTCTCAGCAGCGTAGCTAATGTCGGGATGTTCACTAATGGTATAACACTGCTCAGGTATTTCACAATTCCTTTTACACTTAAGCAAAGAAAGAAAAAGTACTGTGCTGTGGTTATATCAAGGCCTTAAGGGATAACATACAGTTGGCCGTCATTATCGGAGGGGTCTTGTATTAGCCTCTAGGGGTTTCTTTTTGGAGAATGACCATATTAATATTAATTATACTGCTTAATACATAGGTATTTGCCAAATAGGACAATAAATATTGGGTGCCATGGTGGCTCAGTGTCTATTACTAGTGCCTCACAGTAAGAAAGTCCCTGGTTTGTGGCAGGATTCCTCGGGGTGCTCCAGTTTCCCCCACAATCCAAAGATGTGTAGCAATTAGAGACACTGAATTGCCCGTAGGTGTGAGTGACTGATGTTCGGATGGACTTCAACATCCCCGTGACCCTCAGATTTGGAAAATGGATGGGCATGAAATATTGATAACTGGTAGAATAAGCTGCAAAATGTACAAGACATTTTTGCTGGTAGTCCAAAGAAAATGTAAAAAAGCTGACAATGATATGACACTGAATATCTAACCCCAAAGGTCAAAGGTGTGTGTTAATTTTGGTCTGCGGTGATACATTATTGATAGGATATGTCCACAGAGAGTCTCAAGCCTATGATCTAGGGGGTCGTATGTTAAAAACAGCCATTAACAGACTCCCGATGCCACTGGGGACGCATCAAATATTTAGCACTTGTCTGGACATTGGCAGGCATCTTCCCCAGAGGCGTTCGCTTTGTCCTGTAATGAACAAAGAGAGAACTGGAATAAAGAAGGATGGAGGTGGAAAGTCTTGACAGAGACCGAGACAACCTCACACCACCCCCAAGAGATAATCAATACCTCCCGTCTCGGCAAACAGCTGTCAACAAACTGACCACTTTCAAGACTCTGCGAGAGCTCCCTGCATGTGTGAGGCAGGTGATTCATGGGGGGGCTGTGCACTCTGCGTTTTACCAGAGCTCATGGTGCTCTTGTGCAACTCTGCGATTTCTGGAGCATGAAGTGCTTTGGTGTGATGGTGCACGTCTGTGGTCGCCCAGCTGAAAATAATGCGTTCTGTCTGCTGGGTAAAAAAAGAGTAGGCAGAACTGCAGAGAGGACTTGGGCAACACACTGCAGAGAGGGGATGACCTCTGACCCCGACTGTACTCCAGGAAGAACGGTTTTTAATTTCCTGATGCTCCAAGCATGCGTGCATACCAGTGGCGTAGCCAGAAATTTATTTTTGGGCGGGCCTGGGCAAAAGTGAACGTGCACTAGGCTAACTAACGGACGGAGTCCAGTGACAAGTTAGCGCAAATCCACGGCCTCCAACCGTGAACTCAAGGGTGGGTGGGTTGGGAGTGCTGGTTATACGCCGCAATATTGTAAATATTTGTTTTAAACCAGGAAGGCGAGCTAACGGATATCACACAAGCAACGTGCAAACTTTGCGCAAGAGATATGCGGTGAACCTCTTAATCTCAGTCGATTCACTAGAAAGTAAAAACTGATGGCGCTTTCGGTATCTAACGCTGCATTAATAGCGCATTCTCTCAGAGACGACGAGAGACGAATCTACTTCATATGCTGATAATGGTAGCCTATATAGCTAAATGTTTTAATTTACTCCCTTAATATTTCTCTTGTGGCCCGAACATAGGCTAGTGGAAAATAAATAAATAAATAAAGATAGAAGGAACATAGGCTATTTCGTGTTAAACAGGTTGTTTTTTTTCTTTTTAAAAAAAGTCGGTGCTTGAAATAAAGCATTTTCATTGATGATTGCAGTGTTAATCATTTTAATTATAGGCCCATAATTCATTGTATAATAAACCGGTTTTGAAAGACCTTTTTAAAAACATTTTCAATGAGGAGTAAGCTAGCCTAATCTTTATTATCCTTGCAGCACGTCAGTTTTGCGTTGATGCGATATGAAATGATTGCGGGGCAAATTAATTGTAGCCTAATATTAATTTAACAATAAAAGTAACTTAATAATAATAATAATAGGCCTAATAGGCTAATAAGAAGAATGTAACAGGCCTATGTTAATTGAAAATGCCAAATTAGATACAGTGGGGAAAAAAAGTATTTAGTCAGCCACCAATTGTGCAAGTTCTCCCACTTAAAAAGATGAGAGAGGCCTGTAATTTTCATCATAGGTATACCTCAACTATGAGAGACAAAATGAGAAAAAAAATCCAGAAAATCACATTGTAGGATTTTTAAAGAATTTATTTGCAAATTATGGTGGAAAACAAGTATTTGGTCAATAACAAAATTTCATCTCAATACTTTGTTAGTTGTGGACAGGTGTCTTTTATACTGATAACGAGTTCAAACAGATGGCATTAATACAGGTAACGAGTGGATGACAGAGGAGCCTCTTAAAGAAGTAGTTACAGGTCTGTGAGAGCCAGAAATCTTGCTTGTTTGTAGGTGACCAAATACTTATTTTACCGAGGAATTTACCAATTAATTCTTTAAAAATCCTACAATGTGATTTTCTGGATTTTGTTTTCTCATTTTGTCTCTCATAGTTGAGGTATACCTATGATGAAAATTACAGGCCTCTCTCATCTTTTTAAGTGGGAGAACTTGCACAATTGGTGGCTGACTAAATACTTTTTTGCCCCACTGTATAACTAAAGTGTATACAATTATTTTATTCAGAAATGTCATTTTTGTGATTTTTTAATTTGTTAATTCGTTATTTAAATTAATAGGCCTACAAATTAGGAAACAGGTGCAGTTAATCGCCGGCGTCAGTCACAAAAATTATATATAAAAAAAAATTATAAAAATAAATAATAAAAAATAGGCTAATCTTTGTGTGGATGACTGACAACAGCTGGTCTTAAATTCTTTAAGACACCGCACACTAAAAGACTTGGAACACGACTGAAAACACTGACTGAGCTCAAATGACATTCATAATCGGCCTGACAGTAGTGTTTCCCAGCTTCACAGAACGAACCGGTTCATGCGTGGAACTGAAAGTCTTACCATTACTTGCGGGCTGATGGACGGGCTCTCTCCCTTGTCATTGCGAGTTTTTAAAAGTATTTTACAGAATTATGCATTGCTGCTGTTTTTCTAACTTTTTTTAACACAGCTGCAAATTACAGTCCAACTGAATGGGTGAACACGCACAAATTTACATGCGCGACATGCCCGAAACAGCCTAGATAACAATTGGCTAACACTGCTGTCAATCAAACTCAACAAGAATTATGCAAAAACACATTTTATTTATTTGAGTTATTTGAGATGTTATAATAGTTCTCTAATTGTGTTAAAATAGATTAAACAATAATTATTTAACAAATATTAGGCTATATGTGTATAATAAACTGGGGGGGGGGGGCTTTCATCAGAGTGGCCGTCGGCTGCCTACGCCCCTGGTGCATTCACATGCATGCTCAAAAGCACTGCCAAGTTCCTTTCCTCCAGATGCAGTGCTGACAGGCCCATATGGGCAAGAAATCACCGTCACCCTCCCATGTCAACTGCTCACCTTGGATTAGTGCTGTGGATAAGGAAACTTCCTAAATGTACTGAGACATACTGTATGCAACCGAAAGTGTGACCATGCATTCTCAAATGACACTGACTGAATGGCTGGAGGTCGTATAGGTGTAGGTGTACTTGCTAGACTGCTGTATCCATTTGTATCTTGAGGCACTCGTTCCGCTCATCTTTCTGCATGGGTAGTCGCCACATCACATTATTGCACATCTGCATAAAGTTGAACTTCATTCAACTTGGTTCCATCACCATCTGTTGCTGTCAGTCATGTCATCTTAAATCGCCAACTCTTGCAAACTAGAACGTAAATTACTTCTTGTTGTTTTGTCACGGCATATCGCTGTCAGTGTGAACGCCTATTGAAAAAACACTTTGTGTCACACATATACAGGGGTGGAGAGTAACAAACTATTTTTACTTCGTTACTGTACTTAAGTTCATTTTTCAAGTATCTGTACTTTACTGGAGTAGTTTTATTTTGAGAAACTTTTACTTCACTACATTCCAAAGTGTACTTTTTACTCTACTACATTTCATACAACATATCGTTACTCCTTATTTTGAAATGAAGAAATCATCACACATTTATTATTTTCAATGAACCTGTTAAATCGGTTCGCAAGTCGCACCAAATTATTCATTCACGGATTGGACTGATCCGATTGCAGCTGTTCTCGAGTCAGCAACTCACTGATTCAAATGATCAGTTCACCCTGAGTGCACACGTGACTGATGCCACAAAAAGTAAGTTACTAATGTCGAATTTTAGGATTCATTATTGTAACTGAAAATCATATTTAGGTCACAACTGTCAGTTGTTAGTGAACTAAAACTGATGTAAAGGGTGATCTGTTTAAGCCCACTGAAATGCTTTAATGCGGACACGTCCACATCAATGTCTGTGTAAGTTTAAGGTCAAAAAACAAAATATCAAAATAACACACATTAAAAAACTGAATTTGAAATAAAGCATGCATGGTCATCTTCCCCGCGCAGTTTTATTAAAATGTTATTTATTTAGCCCTATGTTATTTCTGTTTTAAATATTATGTATCTGAATCCACTAATCTTTCTTACTGACTAGTACTAGCTACTTGACAATTCATAATAATTCATGGTTGGAGTGGAAATGCTGACTCTGTGCACATTTGTATATATTTGAACTTTGTTCAACTTTGTTGCATCGCCACCTGTTGCCATCAGTCATCATCTTAATTTGCCAACTCTTGTTGAATTTAAATGACATTCACTTGCTTTGTCACAGCAAATCAATGTCAATGTGAACAGCCATTGTAAAACTGTCACACATATAAATCACCGTCACCTTCCCAAGTTTATCTTTCACCTTGCTATAGTGCTGAAGAGAAGGAAAATTCCTAACGACTAAGACGTGCAAATGAAACTGTGTATTATGACCATATGTTCACAATGGCAGCGCCTGAGTTACTGGAGGTCGCTGACTGTTGGTCACTAGTAGCAATTCTTGCTCCACTGTTGTATCCATTTGTATCATGAGGCAATATTTCTGCTCGACTTTGTGCTTTTGTAGTTGCTGCATCACAACTTTGTTCAACTTTCTTGCATTGCCAACTGTTGCCATCAATTGTCATCTTAAATCTGCAACTTTTGTTGAATGTAAATCGCTTTCCGTTGCTTCGTCACTACAAATCCCTGTCAATGTGAATGGCCGCACTGGACAATTTGTGCTACACATAGAAATCACCGTCACCCTCCCATGTCTACTGCTCACCTTGGATTAGTGCTGTGAATAAGGAAACTTCCTAACTGTACTGAGACATATGCAACTAAAAGTGTGACCATACGTTCACAGCAAATGAACTGCAGCGACTGTTGGTCACTAAGCGTTCTTGTATGTTGTATCTTGAATGTTGTATCCATTTATATCATGAGGCACTAGAGCCACTCGACATTCTGCATTGGTAATCCCCCCATTACATCGCTGTGAATTTGCATAAAGTTTAACTTCGTTCAACTTTGTTGCATCGCCAACTGTTGCTGTCAGTTGTCAACTGTTAAGTAAATCACCGTCACCTTCCCAAGTTTATCTTTCACCTTGCTATAGTGCTGAAGAGAAGGAAAATTCCTAACGACTAAGACGTGCAAATGAAACTGTGTATTATGACCATATGTTCACAATGGCAGCGCCTGAGTTACTGGAGGTCGCTGACTGTTGGTCACTAGTAGCAATTCTTGCTCCACTGTTGTATCCATTTGTATCATGAGGCAATATTTCTGCTCGACTTTGTGCTTTTGTAGTTGCTGCATCACAACTTTGTTCAACTTTCTTGCATTGCCAACTGTTGCCATCAATTGTCATCTTAAATCTGCAACTTTTGTTGAATGTAAATCGCTTTCCGTTGCTTCGTCACTACAAATCCCTGTAAATGTGAATGGCCGCACTGGACAATTTGTGCTACACATAGAAATCACCGTCACCCTCCCATGTCTACTGCTCACCTTGGATTAGTGCTGTGAATAAGGAAACTTCCTAACTGTACTGAGACATATGCAACTAAAAGTGTGACCATACGTTCACAGCAAATGAACTGCAGTGACTGTTGGTCACTAAGCGTTCTTGTATGTTGTATCTTGAATGTTGTATCCATTTATATCATGAGGCACTAGAGCCACTCGACATTCTGCATTGGTAATCACCCCATTACATCGCTGTGAATTTGCATAAAGTTTAACTTCGTTCAACTTTGTTGCATCGCCAACTGTTGCTGTCAGTTGTCAACTGTTAAGTTACCAACTCTTGTTGAACTTAAATTACTTTTGGTTGCTTTGTCACTGCAAATCATTAACAGTGTGAAAACCCATTGTGAAAACAAATTGTGTCACTCAGATAAATCACTGTCCCTCTCTGATGTCTACTTACACCTTGTGCTTCCTAACTGTACTGAGTGCGATGCATGTAAAAAGTGTGAACTTAGAGGTGTGTTCACACTGACAGCTGGAGGTCGCCAAGTGCCTTACTATTGGTTGATAGCAGGAGTTCTATTCAGAAAGACTCAAGGGAAGATGAACATTTGCATGGTATTGATTCCGTAAAGTATTAAAGGGATAGTTCACCCAAAAATGAAAATTAGCCCATTATTTACTCACCCTCAAGCTATCCTAGGCGTATATGACTTCCTTCTTTCAAATGAATCCAGTCGGAGTTATATAAAACATTTACTTTGATCTTCCAAGCTGTTTAATGGCAGTCAGCGGGTGTTGCAGTTCATCAGTCCAAAAGAAGTGAAATAAAGCGCATCCATCCATAATAAAAAGTGCCTCACACGGCTCCGGGGGGGTGAACAAAGGCCTCCTGTAGCGAATCGATACGTTTTTGTAAGAAAAATATCCATATTCAAAACTTAATAATCACTTTAATCTAGCTTGCTCCAACAGTTGTACACAGAAGCAGCTCCGGGAGGATGAAGTAAGATTTCGGCGTTGCGCATGCGCCGGTGAGTCTCATGAAAACCAACGTTTGTTTACAGGAGCAAAGGAAGAAAAGTTTCCTTACTTTAGCAAAGGAAAACCAGTCTCCTCTTGGCTTATATCGAAATCCTCCAACATTCTTCTTTACAAATCCTCGTTTCGTACTTTTAATTTGTGACCGTTGTTTTGTTTTGATCTCTCCCCTGCGTTTCTGCGTGCGTCACTTCTGAGCGGCACATGCGCAACGCCGTCATCCTACGTCATCCGCCCGGAACTGCTTTTGTGTACAACAGTGAGCGCAAGCTAGATTAAATTGATTATTATTTTTTAAATATTTACATTAAGTCATTTAGTAGACGCTTTTATCCAAAGCGACTTACAAATGAGGACAATAGAAGCAATCAAAACTAACAAAAGAGCAACAATATGTAGGTGCAAATTGACAAGTACACGTAGCAAGGTATTTTATATATATATATATATTAGGGCTTCACGAAATATCGAAATATCGCAAATGTAAATATCGCAATATGCATATCGCAATGGCGTGCGATATCGTTATCATTTTAATAATAGGCTACTTAAATCAAAACGTTGCAAAAGGTCAAAGTTTTAGTTCAACGCATATAGTAAAGCATTTCTTGACGTTAAAAAAGAGTTAAGTGCAATAAGTTGCAGAAAACAACTCTTTGCCATCTCGTCTTGCTGTCTGACTCACACCTGAAGCGCGCGCACAAGCCGCATCTCACACAGCGTCTCTTCAGTTCTTCAGTTCTGCCGCA